TGGTGCGGGATTGCATTCCCTAGATATAAGTATGTCCTTGTTTACGTGCGGTTCGTATTTCTTTTTATTTTATCAGTGGCAATTAATAATTATTTAGATAAAAGAAGAAAATTAATTTTAGTGTTCGGCAGGTGTTCGGTGAAATTTGGGTGAAATGGAAAAGAACCAAATAATAGTAGTATTCTTTCGTTCTGAACGAAATGAAAATTTTCACTTAAACTGATTTATTCCTACGTGGTATAGGAAATAACAATGATTTCTGAATTTTTTTAAATAGGATCTTCCTTTCTTTGTCGATTCCCTTTATAAATCATTTTAAGTGAAAATTTTCAGTTCGTTCAGAACGAAAGAATACTACTAATAATTACTAATATTCGTCCATAAGAGGTTATGTTTTATGTTCATTTGCAATTCGGTTACCACAGATATAATATAAAATACTACTAATTTTTATCTCGATTATATCGAAAAAGATAATGGAATTAGTTAGTTTTAATTTACTATCGAATTAGTCGAATTATTTAATTCGAATTTTCCCAACACTAGTCTAACAACTGTATTCTACAGGGTGGTCCTAACTGTATTCCAAAAACTTTGGCAGCCTATTCTGCAGATAAAAATAAGCAAAAAAGTTCGTATAAATGTATATTCTAAAATGCTTATTTTCGGAGATACAGGGTGTAGAAATTTCATTTTTATTTTAATTTTTTCCAAATAATTTCTGAAGTAACGTTAATATTTGGATGAAAATTGGTGTCTGGGAGTTTTTTGACATGAGAAATTTGATTTTGATGTCAATACACACCTACTTACAGAGGGCGCCACCTTTTTAATTGTTTTGAAGAGCAATAACTTTTCGTCCGTACCTGTATAAAACTACTGAGTGAAAAAATATACATTTCCGTGATTTTTTATGTAAAAAATATCTCTTGGTAAAAATCGCTAGGATCAACCGTTCTCACGATATTTAGAATGGAAATAGTCAATACATGTCATTATTGACGAAAAATAAACGCGTGTTGAGTAGATAGTTTAATTGACTGAAATGACAAATTTGGAAACTTTTTATTTTTTTAATTCATTCATAAATTTTTCTTCGAAAAAATGATGATAAAATAGTTTCTGTTGAACTTTTGGCACAAAAACATTTCAAATTTATGATTTCAGTCTAATAACTATTTAGTCAACATATTTAATTTATGTCAATGATGACAGGTATTGATTCTATTCCAAATATTTCGAGAACCATTACTCGTAGCGATTTTTACCAAGAGACCTTTTTTATGTAAAATATCTCGTCAAAGTAGATTTTTTCACTCAGTAGTTTTATACAGGTACGTACGAAAAGTTATTACTCTTCAAATAAGTTAAAAAATTTGTAGGTGGCGCCCTCTACAAGTAGGAGTCGTATTGACATAAAAATCAAATTTCTCATGCCAAAAAACTCCCACACCAATTTTCATCCAAATATTGACGTTGCTTCAGAAATTAGTTGGGAAAAATACTTCAGAAATAACTGCACACTGCATTTACCAACTAATAGAATCATATCAATTTTCTGTGATGTAGGATAAGTTTGCATTTTCGGCCAATTTCTGAGAAATTTTTTTATTTTAACTGACACAAAATGATAACTAGTTGTTAAAGTTGGACATTAGACAGTTATGTTGAAGTAACGTCAGACATATCAGCCACCTAAATTTTATCAAATAATAAAGATCTACTCAGATCAAATCATGTAAATGAAAATATCTAGGAAAATCTTTATTTGAGGGGTAGGCAACGTCAATAGTATTTTGAAGAGCACATGAATTCTCAATTGGATATCGGAATAGTATACTGGGTGTTTCTTTTAAGATAAAAGAGTAGGTAACATACTTTTGAAGGTGACCAATATTCAATATTAATTTTGTCTCACCCTGTATAACTTTTTGGATCAAGTTTTAATTTGATTTAAAGTACAATAGTTAATTTATCTACATATTAGGTTATACCGGACAAATTCCAATTTAGGTGGCTTTTATTGTAATTTAAAAATTGTCCTTTATTTCTAGAAAATATTAGATATGTCAAAAACCTTACATTTTAGTCATATACTTTCATATATTTTCTCTTATAAAATTCACCTTTATGTTTCTCCTAGAATCCGAAAATCAATTAATATATAGGGTGTTACAAAAAACAAAACTTTGATATGTAACTTTTTTTGAGGACACCCTGTAGAACTTTCTATATTCTTAAAAGGTGCTCTGAATTAACCTACATAATAATATGCTCACAAAATTTCATTTCAATACAAACTGTCGTTCTTCTTGGAACCTTGCGGCGTATGAGAGGCGCCACCCTGTATTTAATGTTATTCAATTTTATACCAAAAAGTGGTGATTTTAATCAAGTTATTTTTTTATTTTATTGTTTTTTATTTTTATTTTATCGAAAGCCTGCCTAAAATGAATCTTTCTTAATTCTTAAGAAGCATAAATATTTATTTTTCGTTAAAGGTTTTAAATAATGTATTTATCTTTAGTAAACCAGCTAGTGAATAGTTCTTTTTACTAAGTTATGCGAATACGTAATTTGAATAGGTATTAAGAAAATATAGTAATTATTAAAATTATAAATGAAATAGTTTTAGTCCCTAATAGTATAAATTTTGAAGGTAAGCATCAAACATGTGTCAGGACTGTTATTTTTCAATTTCTGTTTTAATTTCATTTTTATTTTATATATGCTCTTTTTACATATTCTTTAAAAATTTAGACTAATTAACTCTTTTGTTGTATTTTTTATTAAAAAATAATTTTGTATTAGTTTATATTTATATATATATAACTACATATATTTATAAACCATACGAGGAATGTAATTAAATAAAACACAAATTATATCTTAAATCGGATTATATTATAAATCTGTTAGATTATATATAGCGATTAATCAATCTTACATAAACAAAACGTATATATAACAAATTTTGATTAAGTCGCTCCAGCAAAATCACAAAATACACAAAAAATTTAAACTAACATCAGTCTCAAATCTTGCAAGTACAAAAATATAAATAGAAAATAATATACTTACATATTTATTACAAGGAGATGTAATAAATACATAAGGACATTATAGTATTACTATAATTATAATATAGTCCATATTTAGATCCTTAAATAAAAATTATTTAATCTTCAAATTATTCATGTGACTATTGTAATATATTTTAAGAAATGTAATATAAATATAGAGCCTATTTCATTTGGAAATATTTGGTCAGCCATTTCTTAAAATATACTAATTAATTTGATAAGACTAAAGTTGACTCCTTAGTAATATCTAAAATTTACTTAAATCTAACCCTATATCTAATACAGTTAAATAAATGTTACCCAAATCATACATACAAAAATTCTTAATCTAAATTAGGTACATTTATAAGAAATTAAAATTGTAAAATATATTTGTTACAAACAGGAACAGAGTATGTACTCGAATACTAACAAATCACAATTATACACAAACTTACTGTCTACCAACTAAAACTTACACGCAATCTCTTTTACAGATAACTGTTTTTCACAGTTTTACATTTAATATAAATATGGCTTAAAAGAAGAGATCAAATAAATATTTTTGTACTATAACATTGTTGATGAAAATAAAAAGTATGAAACCTATATACAGGGCGTAAAAATCAAATAAAGTTGATCAGAATTTGATTTTACATCTATGTACCAAGTTGTATTAGTTGGTACATGGACTTACATTGTTTGATGAAAGTTTAGGACATTTTGAACATCTTTCGAAACACATGTATATATTTTTTAAAAACCCGTTATGTTAATAAACTTGGCACACATATTTTTTAAATAACTCAATAATAAAAGCTTTTTATTTGTGGCGATGTTTTAGTCACATCCTGTATATATGTGCTTCCAACAATGTGACTATTATTACTAAAGAAAATCAGTCCATTAATCTAGTAAGTCAAATTGTGATAAATACGATAGATAAATGTTAAAAATTCACAAAATGCAAATTTAAGAGGTAGAAAGAAATGCTGATTAGTAAAATCAAACATAGGCACTAAAAATATGAATATTATATGTAAGTCATACCATGGATTTACTTAGGAACCTGCATAGACCATCCAGACAAATTCTGAGAACTACGGTCTGCTCTATTATATAAGCAACAAAAACTCGCTCAGAATTTTGCTTCTATTTCAGAGAACAGCAACAAGTTCAAAAGCTACCGCCACAAGAATAATATCTTTTAAATATCGTCTTATATATCTTGAGGAATACTTTTAAGCCTGAGAAACAAGCTAGGTCTTAAAGTATTTGTCTTTTGAATCTGCAGCTGTCGCGATTAAACTTTATGTTTCTTTAGTATAAAAAGTGTCGATCAGTCATTTTAATTCTAATGCCTAATAGAATTAATCAATTGCACATTAATGTGACTAGTATTAAATATTACTAAATCAGTGTACGATAGAGTGACAACTTACACGAACTCGTGAAACTAAATGCTACAGTTTTGAACAATTTTAACTATAGATTCACTCTATTGTACATTGATAGTATAATTAGGCTGAAGATACATTAGTTCAGAATTCGTTCGCTAATTCGTTTTTAGGAATTCTTACGAACAGTGTAGATTATAACCGTTTACTATTAGCAATGGGAGTTCATAATAGAAGTCAAAAATAAAAGTTGTTACTAAATTATATACTGCTGGAATATTTTATCTGCTGTACCTAATGTATTTTATTGATGAAAAATAGAATCTCAATCTCAATGATTATTTGAGAGAAGAGAGAAAAAAATAATGCATTTTCAAGAATGACACTCAGGTTAGAGAATAATGAGGTAATGATGTTGAATATCATTCACCATCACTATTTCAACGTTCTCTAATTTGATTATGTCATGAATTCGGACCCAATGTATCCACAGGTTTAAACTATGTAAAATAAATAAATTCGACAGGCTTAACTTGATCTAATGTGAAGGTCTAGCAATGTGCAGGAAGAAATTAACACTATTTCCATTTTCTTCGCCGCACATATTACAAGTGAACGGGTTGCGGAAACCGTGATAACCCATGTGAATTCGAAACATTACCTCCTCGCTAAATCCGATCTTACAGTCATGACAGTGGAATCCATACCTTTGAGTTTCAGCGCTTTGCCCGCTGTTTTCGTTCTGATCCTTATTAGACGTTTCTGGTCCGTTGATAATAGTAGAATCATGTTGACTATCATCGACAACTTCGACGTTAGCAAACGCGGTACTCATCGATTCCTCATCTTCGCACTCAACTTCCGAAGATCTGCTTGGTGGTTGACTCAAATCCAGAACACCCTCTTCGTTTTCAGATTTCATCTGATTTTGTTGTTTAGTCAACTGCTCGAAATGTTCTCTAATGAACTGGAGATTTTGGAGCAGTTCTGGATTGGGTAAGGCGGCTGGGAAAGCGGGCAACAGTGGCAAAGGAAACGGTACCATTCCAGGTTGATTCAGCAGAAGCGGATTGAATGGTAATGATGATAAATGCTGATGCTCGATTTTGGGAGATGGTGCCTGTTGTAGCGGCGGACTTGAGGATGGAATTGAGGGTCTCTTCGATTTAGGACCCCGCCTGGTACCGTAGACGTCGATAACTGGTTCGGGATTTGGCGTACCGTCCGGGTTGAGTACTATCGCAGGCTGATGATTGTATTTTCTTAAATGCAACTTTAACGAATGGACGTATTTGGTCTCGTAAACACAATCAGAACAACGGTACTGGTAAACTTTTGAATGCGATTTCTGGTGCGATCGTAGCATAGAGTTATTTACACAGGTATAGTTACAAGAATCACATTTGTAAGGCTTGGTTCCGTTATGATTCATAATGTGGTACTCTAGGTGGTGTTTAAATTCTGTGACAAACGGACACTTTGGACACTTTAACATTTTATCTCCTTTAATGTGGATTTTTGAATGTTCCCAATAGTCCAGTTTGGTAATAGCGACATATTTACAGTGCTTGCACTTGTGCTGTTTGACTTTTCCATGTGAATTGAATTTGGGCTTGTTAATATCAGTTAGATCATTATCACTAGAATTGTCGACGTTTTGACTCGAAATATCCATGTTGCTCATTGATGAATCGCCACCTCCTGAAGTTGATGGCATGGATAAATTACCATTGTAATATGCGTATTGTCCGAACGGAACTTGCGAGCCGGTGAAATGGTTATGGCTAGCGTCGGTCCTGCAGTCTCCATCCTGTGGTGGTGGTGTATGGAATCTGTGGTTACCACTTCTGTCACTTTCGGGTGAAGCTGATGGGCAGTCGCTTTCAGACGTGACCCCGGAATCGTTTCTGGTATCGTCCATCGGTTCCTGTTTCTGGAAAGAAAGAAACAAAACCGTATAAATATTTATGTTGGTGGTGTTTGAAGCAGTTAAAAGATGTGTGATTATAACGTCGAAACCGTAAAGAAGAGCAATAAAAAAGCTCTGTTTACGTAACTAAATCAATTGTTTAAAAATTCAGAGACAAGTTTGCGTAATGTGTAACAGCACGCATCGGATAGATTTAGAAATCGTAAGCAAAACATGTTTGTTTATGTTATATTTTTAAGAAAGATCCACAAAGATTCCACTAATATAACGCATAAGGAAACGTAATAAAACCAGGCTTATCTATAAATATATTAAGAATTTTGAACTATAAATTGATCATTAAATGATCTTAACATGCAATTTATTGATTTGTTTTATTTAAGTTAACATTATTCCAATTCGTATTTGAGATCGGATTTAACTTATTTATGCCAAAACATTCATTAAAATCTATATAGGGTTGTTAATTGTCAAGTTTTCCAAATAATTTCTGAAGTATCGTCAATATTTGAATGAAAATTGGTGTTTGGGAGTTTCTTGACAAGAGAACTCTGATGTTGATGTCAATATGACTCCTATTTGTAGGGTGCGCCTCTTACATGTATTTTAACTGTTTTGAAGAGTAATAACTTTTCGTTCGTACTTGTATAAAACTGTCGAGAGAAAAAATGTACATTTCCGTGATTTCTAACGTAAAAATGTCTCTTGGTAAAAAGCGCTTCGAGCAACCGTTCTCAAGATGTTTAGAATGGGAACAGTCAATACATGTCATTATTGACAAAAAAATAAACATGTTGAGTAGATAGTTATTCGATAAAATGATAAATTTGAAGACTTTTTATTTTTTTAAATTAATCATAAATTTTTCTTCGAAGAAATGATGAGACGCTTTTGGCACAAAAAACATTTCAAATTTATGATTTCATTCTACAACTATCTTGTCAACAGGCTTATGTCAATGATGACAGGTATTGATAATTTCGATTCCAAATATCTCGAGAACTATTACTCGTGGACAAGATACTTTTTTATGCAAAAATTGTATATTTTTTTACTCAGTAGTTTTATACAGGTACGAACAAAAAGTTATTACTCTTCAAACTAGTTAAAAAATATATAGATGGCGACCTTTATAAGTAGGAGTCATATTGATATGAAAATCAAATTTTTCATGTCAAAAAACTCCCAGATACCAATTTTCATCCAAATATTGACGGTGCTTCAGAAATTATTTGGAAAAAATCGAAATAAAAATGAAACTTTAACGCCCTGTATCTCCGAAACTAAACTTTTTAGGACATACATTTACATTATACGAACTTTATTTATTTATTTTTATCTGCAGAATATGCTGCCGAAGTTTCCGGAATACAGTACTGACCACCCTGTATAATATGCGGGTGATTCCATAAATTCCATTTGAGAAAATTGAGTTATGATTAAAAGTATGCATTGGTGTAACCACAGGGGTGCCCCCCCCCCTCGGTACTGCTTACGTATTAATTTTTATTTGCTTGTGATGCAGTAAAAATGACGTTTTCTAGTTTTGTTTAGTTAATATTATTTTGTTGTGTTCAAAAAATGTGTTAATTTTTATTTTTTTAGAAAATTTGTAATCTACGGGAACAAGGTTTGATAACCAAGTCTATGAAATTTATTGATAGAGAAATTCATGTAAACGTTTTATTCAAAAAATATGTTTTTAAAAATTATTTTAAACCCTGGGCTCCCCTGGGCTCAACCCCAGGCCCCCCAGGCCCACCCCAGAATAAATTTCTAGTTACGCTAATGAAAATATGGTTTAGGCATCTTTTAACCGGCCAAAGACACGAAAAATATTTTACGACCAGATCCATTTGTTCAAGACTCGTTGGTTAAAAAATTGTGGTTTTAACACAGTCTTATACCTATATACTCTAGACTGAAATCTGAAATTCTATTTTTTTAAACAAAAATGCCGAAAGTTGACATATGTTATGTCATTCCCTTTGGAATTTCATTTTCTATTAAATAAAGTAAACAAGTACCAAGGGTACCATTTAAAAATTAAAAGTTGTAGTCACTTCCGGTGAAACAGGAAGTCACACAAACTAACTGAATACCTCAATCTACCCTGATATATATGTATACCAAACGTCGTTTGTTTATCTAAAAAAATAAAAAATTTGGGGTCGTCCACTTTTACAAAACACCCGGTATAACAAATTAAGCAGTTCAGTTGTTGATTAACTTATCAATTTAGTACGCATTGCGGTGTTTACTCATAATTTTTATCACCACAGATTTTTTTAACAGTTCCAAATAATTTTCATGGTTTTATTTTTCGAAAACATGTTTGTTCGGATGGTCGTTGGCGGCAGTTAATGTTATCGATGACGTTACGAAATGTTTTTTACTAGAAAATAGACTAGCCATTTTCTCAAGATATTTCCCAACGAATCCTGTGACTCATTATTTTTTAGAGAATAGAAAAAACAAGTCTTTAAAATCAAGGCGACGGAAAGTTTAGGAACTAAAAATAATTACGGATCAAGAATGAGGTTAACCGATGTGCAAGAGGATCCGAACGAAAATATGATTAAACAAAAAATCTCCTGAAAATAAGCTTTTTATAAATATCGCTTAAAAACTGTTAATAGGTAAAATAATTATTAATTTCGAACTTTATGCAGTATCACCATCAAAGTTTAATTTTATTAAATATTAATTTTTGATAGGCTGTATCTTTTTTTTTAAATTTTGTGAATAAATGTACAGGGTGGCGCCTCTCATACGCCTCAGAAGTTCCAAGGAGAACGACAGTTTATATCGAAATGAAATTTTGGCAGCATATGTAGGTTAATTGAAAGCATTTTATAAAAATATATAGAATTATACAGGGTGTCCCCAAAAAAAGTTACACATCAAAGTTTTGTTTTTTCTAATGGAACACCCCTTATATTAATTCATTTTCGGATTCTAGGAAAAAAATAAAGATGAGTTTTATTAAAGAAGCCTAAAATCGTAATAATAATAATAATGTACCTAAAATCTAAGGATTTTACTCCTTTATTTCAAGTGAAACACCCAGTATATTATTCCGGTGTTCAATAGGGAATTTATATATCTTCAAAATATTATTAAGGTTGCCTACCCCTCAGACCAAGATTTTCCTAGATATTTTAATTGTTATGATTTTGCGTCAGTCGATCTTTATTATTTGAAAAAATCTAGGATGGCTGTGTGATATACCTTTTGGTAATTTAACAAAAATTAAAGATTTTCTAGTAAAATACTCAACGGTAATAAAAAGATACACGTTTAAAACATATTTTAATTATCACAGAATTAAAACTAGAGCAACATAAGCAACATACATTATAATTTTATGTAAATCCCACGTATTTTATTGTAATTTAAAATTTGTTCTTTATTTCTAGGAAATGTTAAATATGTCAAAAACCTTACATTTTAGTCATATACTTCTCTTATAAAACTCACCTTTATTTTTATCCCAGAAATCCGAAAATCAATTAATATATGTATAGGGTTTGTTCCATTACAAAAACCACAACTTTGATATGTAACTTTTTTGGGGACACCCTGTAGAACTCTCTATATTTTTAAAAAGTGCTCTGAATTAACCTACATATGCTCACAAAATTTCATTCCAATATAAACTGTCGTTCTCCTTGGAGCCTCCGCGGCGCGGCGTATGTGAGGCGCCACCCTGTATAATTTGGTTTTTATATTGTTATTTAACATTTAATATCTAAACGTTTTAAAAAGTTGATTTTCTAAACAGACTCCCTCCCCCCATTTTTGTTCTTTTTATTTGAGAGTTACACATGAATATAAATGATAATTATACAGGGTGAGTCTTAAATAAGTGAACATATTTTCAGGGCTGGTAGATCTCGACAAAAGAATTATATTTTCTCTTTACCGTTTTCCAAATAAATCCAAAAGAAGTCTCTTGTAAATTTATTCTACTATCTACCTATGTTGCAATATTATCAAGATATTATGTTGTTCAAGTCAAAATAAAAAAAAATCCAATTTTTTTTCGAAAAATTATTTTTTTTTTCGCCAAATAAAACTCAAGACTTTTTAAGACACACCCATATTTACAGACAACAACGTAAAAACATGTTATAAGCACAATATTATTGATAATATATCAAACTAATGCAATTGATTTGAGCATAAATATAGTTGAAATTTTAGTGCTTATTGTTTGTAATTAATAAAAATGAAAATGTTTTGACAGCATAATTGAAAATTTGATGCCGTGAAAATATTATTTATTTAAATAATTTGTTGCAATAAACACTGTATTTTTTATGGGTTAAAATGATTCATTATGAATATTTAACGTTATTAAACCAAGAATCATGCTTTTTTAGCTGGGGGGACTTCCAAATAATACTGAATCACATCTTGAGTAATTTTGTTTTTTAACTTGGTTACGATATGACTGGAAATTTTATTTCATTCATTCGGAGAAATTATTTTTTGGAATCGCTTGTAATTATTTGGATTTTAGCTTTGTGTAAATAATTAATTAGAAAATATGATGAAGAAGTATTAAAACAATAATTTAGTGTATTTTTAATCTATGCATAATTGTATTTTCTAATATTCGAGATTTAAAAATAGACCAATAAATGTTTTGGGTCAAATAATGTACTTTCATTTGTCTTCAGACTCGCAACAAGCAACATACATTGAAATATTTTTGACATCAAAAAATACCTTCAGTAGGAAAACCACATATCCTGCAAATTGTGTATGCTTTATTCTATTAATACTTAGTCATAAAATATATGAGAATACATTTCTGGGAAGGAATACTTTGGCAAAAAAAAAAAATAGGAAAACACTCCAGAAAACATAATTAATTATAAGAACCAACAATACGAATATTCCAAATATACTGCATTGGTTATATTTAAGTATGTTGGTTGAGCAACCAACTAGGTATTTTGAACTGATTTTTATATGAGAAAAACAATCTGTTATTCATAGTGGACCACATATTTTCAAGCCTTCATTTAGGATAAAAGAAAACAAACATAACTGTGTAATAATATTTCAATTTGCGGAAGTTTAAAATTTTCAAATACGTTGTAAACACGGAAAATTTATTGGGAGAGATAGATAAAAACAGTTTCACCTAAATAGGTATGAGTTGAAAATGATTCAATATAAAAATTACACTTAAATTAAACGGTGTTCATCTAAGAAATGATTAGATCATAGAGCAGGGTTATTTTCCCGTTTGTAGTAAATCTATAATATATGAGGATTTGTTTGAGGATTGCAAGTACCTACAGTTTGTTGGTGGTATTATAATTTAAAAAACTTTGCATTATTTTAGAATTTACGACTCTAGAGAGATTAAGCATTAAATATTGCTAAATATATAAATTTTAGTTACTTCTTTCAAATTCGAAAGAAAAATTTTGGGCTAATAACTCCAGAAGAATTATGAAATTTAGTACCTTGCAGTGGTGTGTTTTCAGAAACTTTATCTGAAACTGTGTCGATTCTCTTATAATTTTGTAATATTTTTACAAATATATTGGTTTTCGTTAACCTAAACTTGAACGTTCCAAATATATATAAATCTACATGAAAATCCCAACCAGGAAATCGCAAACAGTTAATAAGTACTAGATTATACAATATTTGGAAGATCTAAGTACTTCTCTATTTTAATAAATACACTGCTTTTCGATACACCAATTTGTACCTTCTAAATTTATATATGAAAATCCGAACCATGATATATAAATTCAATTTAGATGAAAAGAAATTTATTGTTACTTAAGCGGGAAACAGTTAAGTTGTATTAGAATTATACAATATTTAGAAGATGTAACGAATATCTGGAAGATCTAAATACTTTTCTATTTTTATAAAAATACTGCTTTTCGTTAGCCCAAATTTACACGTTTTAAATTTATATATAAATGCATGAAAATCGCAACCAGGAAATATCAATTCAATTTAGATGAATAGAAATTTATTGTTATTTAAGTGGAAAACAGTTAAATAGTATTTGAATATTATTTTTCTAAGTACTTTTCTATGTCCAAATTTATATATAAATATGCATGAAAATCGCAGCCAGGAAATATAAATCCAGTTTAGATGAATAGAATCTATTGTCATTTAAGCGAAGAACAGTTAAATAATAGGTATTAGAATTATGCAATATTTATAAGATGCATTGAATATCTTGGAGAACTTAAAACTTTGCCGTAAATGGACCGAGATATAGAAAAAGGAATCACCCGTCTTTACGATGAATAAACGACTAAACCAATGTAATAATAAAATATAAAATACATAAAAAATCAACTTAAAAAAATAATATAAATTTAATAATTATTTTAATTTTTCAATTGTTTGTAATTAGTATTTTTTTACATCTTGCAAGCTGTAATATACCGGATGTTAAGGACAAAAAGTTTATCATCGTTTGGTGATGGTGGGGTGTTCCTTTTTCTCTAAATTTCCGTCCAAATACACAAGAACATAATTAGTTTTCATCTAGAATTGAAATGACAATCGGTGTTTTTGATGGATGTCAGCAACTTACCACAACAGAATTGGTATAATTCCATGGTGTATCTGGCGATAAACTGGGCATAGGGTTGCTCTGCTTGCGCGGATGCCTGGCCATAGACATCGCGTCCTGCATCTGATGCGATGACATTTCCGTATCATCGACCCTCATTTTCACAGTAAAAATCCACACTCAAAACACACGAGAAAAAAATAAGGGAAGATCAAGTTTTCTTCGGCTAAATTGCGTCTATGAAAAACACCGAAAGCGCTCACAACATACACGCGTATGCGTCTGTAATCTCGACTCGACTGTATGTATGAATGTAAACACGTCAGCCACTACGCTCGGTACGTCTGTATCAGAAGCTACGGCGCGTAGTACTACTACTACAACCTACAACATAAATGAGAAGTGCTGCTGCAAGGCGGATAGATCGGATTACGATAGTTGGCTAAGGCTAAGGCAACTGTCGTTGACCGAGGACAAGCAGAAACTGATTTGGAAAATAGAGAGCTTGCTCCTTGCTCAAGTTTAGAGCCGGTGCGCTTTTCCCTCTCCACCCTCGCTAGAGCTTAACTCCGCCCACTTATGCAGCATGTCCGAAGGGTCTTTACAAGGGGAAACAACATTTTTATTAACCTTTTGAGAAAAATGCATATCTTATAAACATTTGTGCTTGTTCTAAAATGGCTAATCTCATTTACACCTTTCCAAATTTCCATACTGTTTTAGAGAAAAGCAGTATATTGGTAAAAATAAAAAAGTACTTAGATCTTCCAGATATTCATTACATCTTCTAAATATTGTATAATTCTAATATAAGTTAACTGTTTTTCCGCTTAAGTAACAATACATTTTTATTCATCTAAATTGAATTTATATTTCCTGGTTCCGATTTCAATATATATATTAATTTATAAATTTAGAAAGTTGTAATTGGTTTATCGAAAAGCAGTATATTTAGAAAAATAGAAAAGTACTTAGATCTCCCAGATATTCATTACATCAGAATCTTCTAAATGTTGTATAATTCTAATATAAGTTAACTGTTTTTTCGCTTAAGTAACAATACATTTTTATTCATCTAAATTGAATTTATATTTCCTGGTTCCGATTTTCATATATAAATTAATTTATAAATTTAGAAAGTAGTAATTGGTTTATCGAAAAGCAGTATATTGGTAAAAATAGAAAAGTACTTAGATCTCCCAGATATTCATTACATCTTCTAAATATTGTAGAATTCTAATATAAGTTAACTGTTTTTCCGCTTAAGTAACAATACATTTTTATTCATCTAAATTGAATTTATATTTCCTGGTTCCGATTTCAATATATAAATTAATTTATAAATTTAGAAGGTAGAAATTGGTTTATCGAAAAGCAGTATATTTAGAAAAATAGAAAAGTACTTAGATCTGCCAGATATTCATTACATCTTCTAAATGTTGTATAATTCTAATACAAGTTAACTGTTTTTCCGCTTAAGTAACAATACATTTTTATTCATCTAAATTAAATTTATATTTCCTGGTTCCGATTTTCATATATAAATTAATTTATAAATTTAGAAAGTAGTAATTGGTTTATCGAAAAGCAGTATATTGGTAAAAATAGAAAAGTACTTAGATCTCCCAGATATTCATTACATCTTCTAAATATTGTAGAATTCTAATATAAGTTAACTGTTTTTCCGCTTAAGTAACAATACATTTTTATTCATCTAAATTGAATTTATATTTCCTGGTTCCGATTTTCATATATAAATTAATTTATAAATTTAGAAAGTAGTAATTGGTTTATCGAAAAGCAGTATATTGGTAAAAATAGAAAAGTACTTAGATCTCCCAGATATTCATTACATCTTCTAAATATTGTAGAATTCTAATATAAGTTAACTGTTTTTCCGCTTATGCAACAATACATTTTTATTCATCTAAATTGAATTTATATTTTCTGGTTCCGATTTCAATATATAAATTAATTTATAAACTTAGAAGGTAGAAATTGGTTTATCGAAAAGCAGTATATTTAGAAAAATAGAAAAGTACTTAGATCTGCCAGATATTCATTACATCTTCTAAATGTTGTATAATTCTAATACAAGTTAACTGTTTTTCCGCTTAAGTAACAATAAATTTTTATTCATCTAAATTGAATTTATATTTCCTGGTTCCGATTTTCATATATAAATTAATTTATAAATTTAGAAAGTAGTAATTGGTTTATCGAAAAGCAGTATATTGGTAAAAATAGAAAAGTACTTAGATCTCCCAGATATTCATTACATCTTCTAAATATTGTAGAATTCTAATATAAGTTAACTGTTTTTCCGCTTAAGTAACAATACATTTTTATTCATCTAAATTGAATTTATATTTCCTGGTTCCGATTTCAATATATAAATTAATTTATAAATTTAGAAGGTAGAAATTGGTTTATCGAAAAGCAGTATATTTAGAAAAATAGAAAAGTACTTAGATCTGCCAGATATTCATTACATCTTCTAAATGTTGTATAATTCTAATACAAGTTAACTGTTTTTCCGCTTAAGTAACAATAAATTTTTATTCATCTAAATTGAATTTATATTTCCTGGTTCCGATTTTCATATATAAATTAATTTATAAATTTAGAAAGTAGTAATTGGTTTATCGAAAAGCAGTATATTGATAAAAATAGAAAAGTACTTAGATCTCCCAGATATTCATTACATCTTCTAAATATTGTAGAATTCTAATATAAGTTAACTGTTTTTCCGCTTAAGTAACAATACATTTTTATTCATCTAAATTGAATTTATATATTTGTTGGTTGCGATTTTCATAAATTATATAAATTAATATATAAATTTAGCATGTCCATGGGCTCTAAAGCAGTATATTATTTGTAAAATATGTGATAGGAGTAACTACAATAATAAATATAAAGAGATGAGATTAATTCATATCATTACATAAAAAAAAAGAGAAAGGAAAAAAACTATAAAATTTTTCCCTATAGCACATTTCATCAAAGGTCAATCACTTAGTGAATAAAAGAAAAAATAATTAAAACTATATAAAAATTTTGTAACTTACAACATTTAGTCATTGAATATAATCCTATTATAACACGAACATTTTACAACTTGCACAAGATAAAACATTTGAATCTAAAATATATGTCTGCAATTAACAAACCAAGTACAGTGGACAGAAACAGAATCAGTACTGATATTTAATATTCACGTGAAAACGCGGCGGAACGCAGTATCTTTATTATCACCGTTTTTTTTATATTTCGCATTAAGATCAATACGTATGAATTTTATAAGTATGGACGCTTACTTTGGCACGATATGCATATTCAGTCGACAGAGCCCAAATAAACGTCCACACTTACGATACAAGCTCTTGATGCGTGATACATGATCCTGATACAACAGAGTGCTACATATGTGGACCCGGCTTTACAATACCGGGTGCGTCTCAAAAGTGGCTCACCCCTATAACTTTTTTATTTTATCAGATAAAAAAACGAGATTTGGTATGTTAGTATGTGAGATAAATTAGGATTGATTGACGTATTCGATTGTTTTTGGTCACTTCCTGTTTCACCGGAAATGACTATGAAACTTTTGATTTTTAAATGACACCCTCGGTATTTTTTTACTTTATTCGATAGAAAATGACATTCTGAATAGAATGACATATCATATATCTACTTTTGACATTCTCGCTTAATAAAAAAGTGTATTTTAAAATTCATTCTAGAGTGCCATGGCTTTGTTAACCCATTAGTGCATGAAGTTTATAAAAGCAAATATAAAACAAAAAACACAGAAAACTATTTATTTATATCCCAAATAACACAACAAAATCATGAGCGATAAAAAAAATCAATGTAATAGTAAGTAATACGTCATCCGATATATCGGTATCTATGCTAACTATTGAACTCTTAAAAACTGTGATAATTTTTATAACATATCTTTGGATGAAGACCGACTCCACATTTACTGCAAACTGCAAATAAATTTGCTTTTCCCATTACAAAACCTACACAATCTTTCGGTTGGTACGTAGCCAATGATCCCGCCTGTCGTATCTAACTTCATTCAAAGGAGTTGGAATACTCTTTCCTCGATTTGACGATACGCCGTATCTTTCAAGCAATGAGTTAGCAAGTGTTCTTCGAAAAGTAAGGAGTGTGGAACAGTCTTTATTATTCAGAAGTAATTTTCTCATAAGCAGCCATGCATTTGTAACCGATGCGTCGAATAAATAACAGAAAATTGGCCAACACCATTTTCTTTGTCTCATTACGATATACTGCAATTAGCTGATCCATTTTATCGACACCTCCCATGTATAAGTTATAGCGCGCAAATACTTCGGGTTGGCAAATACTGATCTTACTTTTGTTTTCTTTTGACCATCTTGAACATTTACCTTCGGACGAAGGAACAAAGTTTGTTGCACAAGTCACAACTTTGTTATCTTTCCATCTTTTTATTTTTTCCGCATTTTATTCTGACTGTTCTGTATTCATATGCTCCTCGTTCTCGCTTTTCTAATCCTGTTTTCTTATTCAAAAAGCATTGTCCAGTTCAGCCGTCCTGAATTGTTTCCGTTTCCGCGAAGCCTTGTTCTGACAGAAAATGAAAGTCTCACAGAAAAAAAAAATATCAAAATATAACTTGAATCCCCGTTTTTCTGAAATTTCATCCGTACGAATGAGTGAAACTACAGTATCTCCGCCAATGCCAAATATTTTTTCTTTGTCACTCTTTCCTGTGTATATATCAAAAGCAATCATGTAACCGTTACTCGTACAAAGAGCCCAATTTTTAAATCCGAATCTTATGGGTTTTCCTTTTATATATTGTTTTGCGTAATGCCGTCCGTAATATGGAAACATAGATTTATCAATAATATGTATTTACAACATCAATAATATTTACAACAATATTATATTATTTATATAATTTACAACAAAAAAAGTTAAGTTTTACTCAACTTTACTTTTTGCATACAATCCGATATATCGGATGGTTAAATTAAATAGCCCGCAATTCATTATTGAAAAAAAAAATCCCACACAAATCTCTTAGCACGATAATTGATCTTTTCTCAACGCATTTTTACGTCATGAAGTGTATTTGAGTCGTTTTCTAAGAAATAATTAAATGTTTTCTTACCCTCCGTGCCTCTTGTTGTAAAGTGACGAATCCATGCTTCAGAAAAACACTACTTTTTGCAATTCAAGCTCAAACAAAATCAATATTATTGGCAAAAAAATACGAAATAACCTTGCCGGTATGGATTTTAACCCAAATAAATTTTAAAGTTATGTTGACATTTCTTGAAAATGGAAAACTACGTTCATCCGATTTATCGGATCATATGCATTAATGGGTTTTAAAAACACTAATTCTGAGTGAAGGAGCCTTGGAAAAATAGATTTGCTCGTCTAATGTTTTTAGTGTCTTGTCCAGGCCAGTTAGAAAATGATCAAATCGTATTTTTAATCATATCTCAATTTTTTCAAATAGAACGAGGGTGGCTCATTAGCATATTTGGAAAAAGCATTTTTTACGAATAATTTGATACCACACACTTGGTATTTTGAGTCAAATTGTCGTTATGAACCGGATGTTACAATTTCAAATAAACCATATGCAAAATGTCAAAAGTTGACATATGATATGTCATTCTATTCAGTGTGTTATTTTCTATCGAATAAAGTAAAAAAAATACCGAGGGTGTCATTTAAAAATCAAAAGTTGTAGTCATTTCCGGTAAAACAGGAAGTGACCCAAAACAATTGAATACGTCAGTCAATCCTAATTTATGTCATATACTAACATACCAAATCTCATTACGCACCCGGTATACAGGGTGGTCCGAACTATATTCCGGAAACTTCGGCAGCATATTTTGCAGATAAAAATAAGTAGAAAAGTTCGTATAAATAAATAAATAAATAAATAAATGCCTTTATTGTCAAAATTTTTTTCAATTTGTAGACAAAGGTAAACTAACAAACAAAGTAAAAAACAAGGTACACAAACAAACAAACAAAAGATAATACAATACATTATACAAATAATATTGTCAGTCTTATTGTTTAAAATAAACATTTATAAATGCAAAAAGTTTATAGTATAAATGTATGTCCTATAAAATGCTTAGTTTCTGAGATACAGGGTGTTGAAGTTTCATTTTTATTTGTATTTTTTCCAAATAATTTCTGAAGTAACGTTAATATTTGGATGAAAATTGGTGTTTGGGAGTTTTTTGACATGAGAAATTTGATTTTGATGCCAATATGACCCCTACTTGTAGAGAGCGCCTCCTACATATTTTTAACTGGTTTGAAGAGTAATAACTTTTCGTCCGTACCTGTATAAAACCACTGAGTAAAAAAAAATACATTTCCGACGTGTTTTACATAAAAAAAAGTCTCTTGGTAAAAATCGCTACGAGTAATGGTTCTCGAGATATTTGGAATCGAAATAATAATACCTGTCGTCATTGATATAAATTAAATATGTTGACTAAATAGTTATTAGACTGAAATCATAAATTTGAACTGTTTTTGTGCTAAAAGTTCAACAGAAACTGTTTTATCGTCATTTTTTGCAGAAAAATTTATGATTAATTTAAAAAAAAATAAAAATTTCCCAAATTTATTATTTCAGTGAAATAACTATCTACTCAATGTGTTTATTTTTCGTCAATAATGACATGTATTGACTATTTACATTCTAAATATCTTGAGAACGGTTGCTCGTAGCGATTTTTACCAAGAGACATTTTTTGCGTAAAAAAACACGGAAATATATATTTTTTCACTTAGTAGTTTCTACAGGTACGGACAAAAAGTTATTACTCTTCAAAACAGATAAAATACATGTAGGTGGCGCCCCTACAAATAGGAGTCAAATTGACATCAACATCAAATTTCTCATGTCAAAAAACTCCCAAACACCAACTTTTATCCAGTTCAGTTACTTCAGAAATTATTTGCAAAAATCGAGATAAAAATGAAACTTCTACACCCTGTATCTCCGAAACTAAGCATTTTAGGACATACATTTATACGAAAATTTTTATATATTTTTATCTATACAGAATATACTGCCGAAATTTTCGGAATACAGTTCGGACCACCCTGTTTATTGCTTAAGTTGTTTAAATCCGATTTATAGTTAATACAGTTTATATTTTTCTGTATATTCACCATTTCCAGAAACAATATCTTTCCATAACTTTTCGAAATCCAACACTCGTACATTGTCGAAATCAAAACTATGCCCTGTGTTTATATGATGGTGCACTACAGCACAATGTGTATCTGCCTTGTTGCGTTGGGAGTAGGACCAGGTTTGAGGTGTTCGAGGACCAGGGGTGCAACTTTGTTCATGTTTCAAAGCGATAGCAAAGTAATTTGTAGCTTGATGAACTATGTTCAGTAGCAACATCGATTCCTAGCGATATTCTGATTTCTCGCTTTGTGGCGAGGCGACAGTCTAGACACGTGTGCAAGAGTGTGATAGTGATACCATATTTCGCAGCATTTGAGCGACAATAGTTTTGCAATGAACATAGTATCGATCTGGTTTTGACATCGCTTCTAAACGATCGGTTGCTAACTTGAACAAAGTTGCACCCAGGTGGCAAAACTATTAAGACTTATGACACAGCAACCTTGATAGTGCAACCTTCCAAGTTAAATTAGATGATGACCTCAAAACAGAAAAAATACCACTCGGCAAGGGCGTGAGACAAGGAGATACCATCTCTCCCAAGTTATTTACACTGGTACTGGAAAATGTCTTCCAGAAATTGGAATGGGAAAATAGAGGTCTAAACATCGATGGGATACACCTTAGCCATCTTAGGTTCGCAGACGTTATTGTCTTTCTGAGCACCGACATTCAAGAACTGAACACCATGCTAAAGGAGCTAAATGACCAATCCCAGAAAATTGGCCTTAAAATGAATTTGAAGAAGACCAAGATAATGAGTAACTCAGGCCGCGTATGTGGCCTTGGGGACGCAGAGGGTATACTAATTACTGCCCCGGGAGTACCCAGACCTAGGGCATGTATTTTAGTAAAAAAGAGCGTGCACTCTTTTAACCTTTGCAGGTTCTCCTCTCAGGATGTGGTGGCGGTGCATATCCAGATCCCAGCGGGGAGGAGCGGTGGTGGAATGGAGTTTGTTGCCTGCTCAGCATATTTTCCGGGAGACAAGACAGCAGAGGTGTCCAAAGAAAGTGAGAGAACTAATCTCCTTCTGCAAGAGGAAAAATCTACAGCTGGTGATAGGATGCGACGCCAACGGCCACAACTAGGCATGGGGAAGCACGGACACCAACTTCAGAGGTGAGTTAATTCTTAATTACTTGATATGTGAAGGGTTAGTAGTTAATAACGTAGGCTCCGAACCAACCTTTGTTACCTGTAACACGAAAAAGGTTTTAGACATTACGGTTAGCTCCAACTATTTGAGCAACTGGATGTCCAAATGGAGGGTATCATCTGAGCCATCGTGCTCGGATCACAGACAATTTCAGTTTGAAATAATCGTAGGTGAAAGAACTCTTCTGCAATATAAGTATCCAAAATGCACAGATTGGGAAGGATACAACCGTTCACTCGTGGGTCTGCTGGAACCCACAATTGCAAAAGTGAGAGATCGCGATGAGATCGAGATTGCGGCGGAACAACTGCGGTGTGTAATCATAACGGCTTATAGTGAAAACTGTCGTCCACTTAAAACAAAGAAGGATAATAGGAAGTCCTCTTGGTGGAACAACAAACTGGACAAGAGAAGAAAAGAAGTGCGACAGCTCTTTAATCGCGCTAAAGTGTCAGGTAACTCGGAAACCTATCGTATGACGTTGACGGAGTACAATAAGGAAATAAGAAGGGCGAAGAGAGTGTTGGAGAAGGTTCTGCGGGAGTCTGGTCGATCTACCACAAAGCACTAGAATTTACAAGATTCTCTCAAAAGAACCAGTGAATAAGTTAGGGACGACACAGTGCCCCGACGGTAACTTCACAGAGTCGAGGAAAGTAACGCTAGAGATTTTGATCCAAAAACACTTCCCAGGCTGCCTGATTCTAGGTGATGAAGAACGACCTCCCCCATAAAAAGAGGATTGGGAGATAGCAAAGAAAGTAAACACCTATAGGGAAACTAAGGGGGCGATCGAAAGTTTTGACCCATTTAAATCTCCAGGATTATTTCCGGCCTTATTGCAGAAGGCTGAAAGGATTATCGTCCCTCGCTTAGTAAGGATCTTTAGGGCAAGTCTGGCGTGGTCACACCTGCCAGCGGATTGGACGAGACCAAAGGTGGTATACATACCAAAGGTGGGGAAACAAAACCTACAACCTGGCTCATATCGACCAATAAGCCTTACATCATTTCTACTGAAAACCCTGGAGAAGATATTGGATGGGCATACCTTTGATCGATAAGAATACCTTTGATCGCAAAGAAATTGCGATAGGACATTAAGGGAGCATTTAACAATGTTACCCCTCAATCGCTCCTAGGCGCTGCGCTGTAAAAGCCCGAGGAGTCGAAGCAACCATAACTGAATGGATTGAGCAAATGCTCAAAAATCGAATAGCAACGACGTCGCTCAGCGATGAGCCTGTCAGGTTTGTTCCAGGCAGGGGATGCCCGCAAGGAGGAATTCTCTCCCCTGTTTTGTGGACCCTGTTAGCGGATGACCTGATGGCAATCATCGATGCATACGAGGTTGAAGCACAAGGATATGCGGACGACCTGGTAATCCTAGTAAAAGGACACAAAGAGGAGGACATCTCTTCAAAAATACAGGAAGTCTTAGATGCAATTCACGGCTAGTGCACACTGGGACAATTAAGTGTAAATCCACATAAAACCGTGATCATACCATTCACCAGAAGAACGAAAAAAGACAAACTAAAACCGCCCACTCTTCTTGGTGAGACAATTCCGTTTGCGGAGGAAGTTAAGTATCTAGGATTAAACCTGGACAAAAAACTTAGCTGGACCTCCCATCTGGAAAAAAATATAAAAAAGGCTTGCTATGCTCTATGGGCCTGCCGCCGAATTTGTGGTAGAAACTGGGGATTAAACCCCAAAAATATGTACTGGCTATATGTGACAGCCATCAGACCTTTTATCACGTATGGCGCAGTTGCCTGGTGGCAGAAAGCCAACTAAACAACGGCAAAGAATAAACTGTCAAAATTACAACGACAAGCATGCTTAGCGGTGACTGGTGCTTTTCATTCTACGCCGTCAAAAGCTATGGAAACCCTACTCGACTTACCTCCTCTTCAAATTCTTTTGGAGAGAGGCGAGATGGGCTACATATAGTATATATATATATATATATATATATATATATATATATATATATATATATATATATATATATATATATATATATATATATATATATATATATATATATATATATATATATATATATATATAAATATGGCACGAGAGAGCCAAGGAACAATTATGTTCATACAAAACCGTCTAGTAGACGAACTACAATCGGATGAGATTCTGGGAATGGTCTCGGATCTCACAACACCAATCCAACTTTTGACGCGCATCTACAACGTCCTATTTTCGAATAGGGACAAATGGGATAAGCCCAGAAACGGCTTATTACATGCGGAAATGTGTTGGGACAAGGGTGGATCCAAAAACGTTAAAGGTTCTGGCGCGGGAATTTACTGCAGCAGTCCAAAGACTGAGATCTACCACAGACTTGGAAAATACACCACAATTTTTCAAGCTGAGCTATACATATGCTATTGAAACCTGTGTGCAACTGCTGGTAGAACAGCAATACACCGGGAAAACAATAAGCATATTTTCGGATAGTCAAGCCGCGTTGAAAGTACTTGAGGCAACGAAAAGCACGTCTATGACGATTCTTCATTGTAAGAAACTACTCAATATATTAGGAGATAGGAACACAGTGTCGCTAATATGGATACCGGGACATGTCGGCCTAGAGGGAAATGAACGTGCTGATTCCCTCGCCAAAACTCGTGCAGGCTCGCCATTCGTGGGCCCAGAACCGACGCTTAGAGTACCAGAAAATCTCGCAAGAGACAGGCTCGGTGAATGGGTTAGGGGTGCGACGTTTCGGGACTGGTATGCCAGTCCCGGAATGGAACATGCCGAGACAATCCTAGCAGGGCCATCCAAACGTAGAACAGATGAACTAAAGGCTATTAGGAACGGAGCGCTTACGCTTACTGTATTATACACGGGCCATTGCCGGCTGAGATTACACCTACAGAGGATGGGATTGGTGGAAGATGCTGAATGCCGACTCTGTATAGAAGATGACGAAACAATGAAGCACGTTATGTGTACATGCCCCGCTGGGGGCAGGACCAGGTTTGAGGTGTTTAGCAAACCCACGCTAGACCTATCAGACCTAGAAGACATATCACCCTCGGACATAACGGCCTATGTTAAAAGGCTGGGTCTTGAGGGTGAACTTTAATGCTCTTTTTCTATTAATGATCTTGTAGAAACTAAGCCACAATAGGCTCTTGCGGCCGCAGTGGAGGGTCCCACCTGGGACCCATTCTTAGTGAAATAAAATACAATACATAGATAATGAGCAATAAGATCCATAACATTACTGTATACAACGTTATTATTAAAAACGTAGACCATTATATATATTTAGGTCATAAAATCAAGCTGGGTAAGGAGAACCAAAATACGGAGATCAAACGCAGGATCCATTTGGCATGGGTAGCATTTGGAAATATGTGCGATATTTTCAAGGATAAAGAGCTGCCCATCAACCTAAAGAAAACGGCTTACGACAGCTGCATTCTATCTGTGCTTACGTATGGCTTAGAGACTGTCAATTACCCGAAAAACAGCAGAACAACTACGAGTAGCACAAAGAGCCATGGAAAAAATCATGTCACCATTAGGGAAAAAATACGGAACACAAACATGCTTCAATAGATGTTGTTAAAAGAGTGGCAAGTCTGAAGTGGCAATGGATAAGACATGTGGCAAGGTAGGATCCAGACCGATGGCCCCAAAAAGTCATTCTATGGAGACCTAGGGGAACAACAAGATGTGTGGGCCGACCAAAAAAGAGATGGGTCGATGACGTGAAGGCAGTGGCGGGAAGACAATGGATAAGATTAACTAGAGATCGCGAAGCATGGAAAAACCTAGAAGAGGCCTATATCCAACACTGGATGGAACCAGGCTGAGAAAGAAGAAGAAGAAGAAGAAGAGGACCAGGTGGCAAAACTATTAAGACTTATGATATCTTGGTGACATATTATTCTCCCTGATATAAAAGCCTATGTTAAAAGGTCTTGAGGGTGAATTTTAATATGTTTATTATTTTTTTAGAACTAAGCCACAATAAGCTCTCGCGGTCGCAGTCGTGGTTCCCACCTGGGACCTACTCTTAGTAAACACAATATTAATTGTACCTGTGATTGTACTTTCATTGCTAAAATGCTATCATTTATAGATACACTAGCTGATACGTGCCCACTTCGCTGTGCATAAAAATTTGGAACGATATATTTCTTTATAAATCTTACAATGTTGATATACAGTGTGAGTCTTTAAGGTGGAACAAATTCATTATATCTAACACAGAACTTGAACAAAGTGCTGAAACATGTCAATTATTATTTCAACGAAGTTATTTTAACTCTTGGTCTTGATCTGGTCGGTTTGGTCTTGCAGACATGCAAAATAAAATTTGGTTGGCTTCCACAAATGGCGAAGATCAGTTGGGTTGGAATTGGCGATCGTTGACATTCCCCATATAATTTTACATATAAAATGACAGCGATATTCATTTCATAGTCATCGCTGACGCCGTTTTTTTCGATCATATTGTACTTTTTTATTAAAAAATAATATATACCTATTTATTAATTTATATGTGTCAACAATACCAAAAGAGGAATAAGAAATGCGATTAAATAAAACACAAACTATATATTAAATCAGATTTTATTATGAATCTGTTAGGATTATACAGGGTGAGTCTTAAATAAGTGCAAATATTTTCAGGGCTGGTGGATCTATACAAAAGAAAAATATTTTGTCGGTTTTCAAATAAGTCCAAAATCACCGGGTTATTTTATTTTGAAAATTTCCAAAAAAGATATTTTTTGGTTAAATTTTGAGAACAACTGGAGTTTTCCTTGGTTTTCTTTCTTGTAAATTTAATCTTAAAAATACTAAATTTAAAAGAAAAATTGCGAGAAAAACTTCGAAATATTCATGAAATATTCAAAATATTTGTGTTGTTCGAAACCCTATTGATACCGATATTGTTTGTTCGAAAACCTAAAAATATTTGCACTCATCCTGTATATAGCGATTAATCAATTTTACATAAACAAAATATATAACAAATTTTGATTAAGTCGCTCCAGTAAAATGACAAAATCGACAAAAATTATGTTTTACCAACACCAGTCTTAAGTCTTGCAATCTTGCAGTCTTTAGCTCCTTAAATTAAAATTATTCATATCATCAAATTATTCAGATGACTATTGTGATACATGTTAAGAAATTTAATATAAACATAGAGCCTATTTCATTTGAGAATTTTTCACTCAAATGGAAATATTTCGTCAGTCGTTTCTATAAAACGTCTATTAATTAATTTGATGATAATGAATTTGACTTAATCTAAACCTATATCTAAATAATTAAATAAATATTAAAATTCTTATTCTAAGATTTAAATTATAGTTTAAAATAAATTAAATTGTTACAAACAGAACCGGAGTATATATTCGGATACTAACAAATCACAATTATACAGACTTACACTTTACCAACTAAAATTTACACACAATCACTTTTTTTCGAAGATCAGATAATTATGTTTGTACTATAGCATTGTTGATTGAAATAAAAAGTAACGGAACATGTATACAGGGTGTAAAGAAATACCATAAAAAAGTTGTTCAGAATCTGATTTTACATTTATGTACCAAGTTTGATAAATACACAAATACTCTAGAAAAATATGAAATTTTCTGGTCTGGATGACTTTGGTTGAAGTTTTGAATTTGTATCGTCCTTTTAATCACACCCTGTATATATGTTTCTACAACAATGTGAGAATTATTATTAAAAAATATCACTCAAATTATATATCAAATAATAAGAATCTAGTAAGTCAAATAATTGTGATAAATACGCCAGTTAAGCGTTAAAAATTGGAAGGAACCTACATATGCTGTCCAGGTAAATGATAAAAATTACAGCTTGCTTGCTCTATTATATAAGGAACGAAATCTTCCTCAGGATTTGCTCCTGTTTATTCTAAAAACAGCGACAGGTTCAAAAGCTACTGCCTCCATAATTCCCAATTATGTAATTGGGAAAAATACAAAATCGTTCTCGTTATTTTGTATTATGTAATACTTATATTGAAGTCAGCGTTGACTAAATGTTTTTTAGAGAAATTAAATGACAAATATTATTATCATATAAGCCGAATAACATATTTTCTAAAAATTAATAATTCTAGAAAAAATGTTACTAAAAAATGCGGCTTTTTAACTTATTGTTTTAAGTCGAGAAGTGAGTTTCTTGTGTCATACAGAATTTTTTTATTTTTTTTTTATTTTTTAGATTTTTATTAATCTGATAATTATATGACCTTTTTCATTTATTATCAGACTTGTTTTTTTCAAATAATAATAAAATCAATAGAATAGTATAGAATTACAAGTTGATCTATACAGGGTGAGTCCTAAATAAGTGCAAATATTTTTAGGGGTAGTATATTTCGACCCCAGAAACACAAAAATAAAATAAAATATTTTTTTTTAGTTTTTAGTTAACAAACATAATTTCTTGATAATACGACAACATAGGTAGTAGATTAAATTTACAAGAAAGGAAACCCAGAAAGATCCACCCGTTCTCAAAATTTAAGCAAAAAACTTATTTTTTGGAAATTTTCAAAGTAAAATAACTCGTTTATTTTGGACTTATTTGAAAAACGGTTTGAAAAAAAAATGCATTTATTTGAAAACGGAGAATATATGTTTCTTTTATCGAGATCTACCTGCCTTGAAAATATTTGCACTTATTTAAGACTCACCCTGTATATCTGTTTATTGAAATAGAGCAGAAAAGAAAATAGAAAAATATAGTTGATCTAATATGCATTAGAAAAGTAAGGGAATAAAAACGAACTGAGTTAAACAGGTTGCTACTGTTTAAATCTGTACGTTTTTTTAAGATATTTTAGAATTTTTTATTTTTTTTAATATTTTTTATAGAATAATTTTAAGCCTGATATGGAAGCTAGGTTTTAAAAAGTTTGTCTTTTGAATCTGCAGCTGTCGTTATTAAAGTTTAAAAAAAATGTTGGTAAGTTATTTTAATTCTAATTCTTAACAGAATTAGCCAATTGCACTTTAATGTGACTAGTTTTAAATATTGCTATATCAATGTACAGTAGAGTGACAACTTAGATGAACTCATGAAACTTGAAGCTACAATTTTGAACAATTTTAACTATATTTTCATTCTATTGTACATTGTTAGTAATATAATTAGGCTGAAGATAAATTAGATCAGAATTCGTTGCAATTTGTAGCAAATTTGTTTTTAAGAATTCTTATGAGCAGGGAAGGGTAACGACCAATCACATCTGTAACAACCGTTTACTATTAGTAATGAAAGTTCATATAGAGGTCAAAAACAAAATCTGTTACTATATTATATACTATTGGAACATTCTGATTCCTGTAATATATTTTTTTAAAAAATGGAAGAACATTTTTTAAATTATTTATTTATCTAGAATATTCTGAACGACTATTTGAGAAAAGAGAAAACATGATGAATATTCAAAAATAACAGTCAGATTAGAGAATATTGAAGTAATGGTGTTGAATATCGTTCATCGTCATTACTTCAATAATCTCTAATTTTATTATGTAACGAATTCAGACCGAACGTATTCACCGCCTAATTTTTAAACTATGTAAAATAAATAAATTCGACAGTCTACCGGCTTAACTTGATTTAGTGTGAATATTTAGCAATGTGCAGGAAGAAATAAACGCTATTTTCACATTCTTCCCCGCATATACTACATGCGAATGGGTTGTTGACACCGTGAAAACCGATGTGAATTCTAAACAATACCTCCTCGCTAAATCCAATCTTACAGTAATGACAATGGAATCCATATTGTCTATTTTCAGCGCATCGATCGTTGTTCTCGTTCTGATCCTTATTATACGTTTCTGTAATATTAGAGTCATGGACATCATCGACAACTTCGACGTTAGCAAACGCGGTACTCATTGGTTCCTCTTCTTCACTGTCAAATTCTGAACACCTGCTGGGTGGTTTACTCAAATCCAGAACACCCTCTTCGATTTCAGATTTCTTATCATTTTGTATAACCCATTGTTCGAAATTTTCTCTAATAAACTGAATATTTTGGAGCAGTTCTGGATTGGGTAAGGCGAGTGGGAAAGCGGGCAGCAGTGGCAAAGGAAAAGGTACCATTCTAGGAACTGGATTGCATGGTAAAGATGATGCATACGGATGCTGTGATTTGGGCGACGGTGATTTTGGTAAAACCGAAATTGTGGATGGGAGTGAGGGTCTCTTCGATCTAGGACCGCGTCTGGTTCCGTAGACGTCGATGACTGGTTCTGGATTAGGCGTACCGTCAGGGTTGAGTACCACCCCAGGCTGATGCCCTTTTTTTCGTAAATGCATCTTGAATGTATGGAGATGTTTTGTTCCGTAAGGACAATCTGCACATCGGTACGGGTAAATTTCCCAGTGTGTTTTCTTGTGCGATTGTAACATAGATAGTGTTAAACTGCTATAGTTGCAAGAATCACAATGGTGAGGCTTGATTCCCTTGTGATTGTTAATGTGATAATCCATATGGTGTTTATATTTAGTCACAAATGGGCACGTCTTACACGTTAACAATTTTTCTTTTTCAATGTGGATTCTTAAATGTTCCCAATAGTCCTCTTTGGTAATAGCAACATATGGACAGTGTTTGCACTTGTGCTCTTTGCCTTTTCCATTTGAATTGAATTTGATTTGGTTAATGTCTGCTTGGTCATTATTACTAGAATTTTCGAGGTGTTGACTCGACAGATCCATGTTGTTCATTGATGATTCATTGGCTGCGGAAGTTGATGGCATGGATAGATTATTATTGTGATATGCGTGAACTTGCGAGCTTCTGTCGCTTTCGGGTGATGCTGATGGGTAGTCGTTTTCAGATACCCCGGAATCAGTTCTGGTATCCTCCATCGGTTCTTGTTTCTGAAAAGGAAGAAAAAAACTTTATAAATTTATATGTTGGTGGTGCTTGGAGCAGTTAAAATATATGCGATTATAAGGTCGAAACCGTAGAGAGTGGCTGTTTACGTAACTAAGTCAATTGTTTAAAAATGCAGATACAAATTTGCGTAATGTCGCGACCGCACATGCGACATTTGGCGATTTCCAAGCGCAGTTGGAATTCGGCGACTCGACCGGCGGCGGCGACGAGAACGAGCGCTCGTCTCTATGAGACGACACTAAAACTCACGAAAACCTCGAAAGCATTCGGATCCTACACGGAGAGTTCGGTTTTGTTCAGCGAGAAGCGCTTTGCGGGAATTTTGAACATTATGAATAATCGAGAATCGAACAATAATCACAGACAATAATTTTATTATGCGAAATTGCTAACAGTAGTTGACTGTTTTGGTTGTTCATTTTGTTTTTTATAGTTTTTGACTATTTTTAGAAATATGGCTATATTTAAAAACTGATCTGCATTCATATATTTTTAAAACATACAAGTATCATTAAAGTTACGAAATGTAATTTGTCATTATTTGCTCATTTTAAAGAAGGAAGGTGGTTAATGTATTTGGCTTGTATTTGATAATACACCTATATTGCCTACATCAAGTGATTTTAGTCAAAGTTGCATTGATTATTGGTGTAAATTAAAAATTGTTTCATTTGCAGATTGCATGATCACTATCTAATTTGATGCATAAGTGAGAACCATAGCTTTACTTGGAGAGAGCTAAAATATCAGTTCTTAAATTGAATCACATTTTCATGGGGAAATAAACGTTTTGGGACAATTTGTTAGCTTAATTACTGTAACATATTAGAAATAAAAAAAAACAAATTTATAGTTCTAATTTTATTAGAATGTTGCAGTTTCGATTACGGCCTATCCTATAAGAAGAAACTGCAAGAAACTTATGGCTGTTCTATGTCAAGAAAATACAATAATTACAACAATACAATACAACAATTTTAACAATAAACAATACCACATTGTACAGGTTAGTAGTACAAAATAAATATAAAACCCTTAACCAACAGTCAATACATATTTACTTAAGTAAGACCAAAAACAAAATAAATAAATTCTGTTTTTCATACCACAGTTTATAACTTTCCTTTGTAGCAAAGTCATAGGCAAAGTTATGTGTTTCCATTTCCAATTTTACTTCATGGTGTTTACCTTCAAATGTTGTTGCAATATACTGCAACTTCCACAAACTATATACAGACTACCATATTTAGAGTACACAGTGGGCAAATAATACGTTTCTTTTTATTATAGTGTTTTTCACAAAATTAAGCGAAACAACACAAATTAAAAATAATCCTATCTGTAATATTAATTATCAAAGTTCTATGAATCGCTGGATCCCCAAAACGCATTCACAAATGTAAATCTTTAAATGCTTTTAGTATTTTTTGTATTATTTAAAAATACAGGAATGCTGTTGAGTTTTTAACTTTGTTTTTAAATAGGGCCATATTTATTCTGATATTTATATCAGTTTTTTATCCGTTGTTTACAAAGTCCATCAGCGGCAAAGTTCAGCTGTGGTTCAGCTGAGTTTGACGTAGACCGCGGTTGCGCGGTTCAGCTTCCGAGTATTTTGTCCTTAAAGAAGGAAAGAGAGACTCTCTTTCCTTGTCTAGGGTATCGTGAGTTTTAGTGTCGTCTGTCTCTATGTTGCTTCTATCAGAGCTCGGCGATGCCTGCATGTGTGGACGGAAAGGCGAAGTCCGATGACGAGCGCGATATGTATCAGAGCACATCGGATAAATTTAGAAATTGTAAAACATGTTTTTGATATACATATGTATTTGTTATTTAATAGTCCAGAAAATAAGGACACGAAAAGACCCAAGTCTCGGCTCAATTCGTCGACCATGACTCTTAGGCGGATTGCGTACCTACGTTTTGAGGAGTAGTTTTAGGTAAAAAAACACCGTGCTCGGCTAGCTTTGGCAGAAAAAATGGTCCCAAATGGCCGAAAAATCAGTTTTCGCAAATATCTGCCAAAATATACAATTTAAATTTTTTTCTTGGGATTAAAAATGAGGCTTAGGTCATTATTTACAAAAAGTACTGACAGTTTTTTCATAAGTACCGGGAAAACGCTTAAAACCCGCTCTAAGAGGCGAAAGAACTGGTTTTCCACCAATATTGACCGAAATATGGCATGTACTTAGATGATGTTCATGATCAAATGGAAGATTGGGTCCTTAACTAAAAAATGATCCTGACACCTTTTTTCGTAAAAAGATACCAATTCGACTATTCGTAATTATTTTTTATTAACGACGCTTTCCGGAAATCCTCAAAAAGCGGAAAAACACACTCACAAATAGTTGTTTTTTATTAAAATGTGATTAAACAAATACTTCAAACTTTGTAAGTTGCCTATAGAGACTCTAACAACAACTGTTAAAAAATATCTTGACAAATAAGTTATTATTAGTGTAATTTAAAATTATGTAATGGAAAATAGACTAGCCATTTTCTGAAGATATTTCCCGATATATTATTTTTTTAGAGAATAGGAAAAACAAGTCTAAAAATTTAAGCAACGGAAATTTTAGAAACTAAAAATAATTTCAGATGAAGAATGAGGTTAAGAGCTCAAACGCACTGACGACCAGGTCGCAGTGACCAGCCAACGGCCAGGCCATTTAATGGTATTACTGCTGCGACAGCTTGATACGTTTTTTTTATCATTTCATATTTAATGGCCTGGCCGTTGGCTGGTCGCTGCGACGTGGTCGTCAGTCTGAGCTCTAATAGGGAACAAACGCACTGACGAACAGGTCGCAGCCCCAGCCAACGGCCACCAATCAAATGATACAACGCGTATTACCATCCTGGTCGTCAGTCCATACTAATGCGCAAGAGGATCCGAACAAAAAATCTAATTAAACAAAAATATCCTGAAAAATAAACTATTTATAAATATCGCCTAATTTTTGTAGGCATGACGGTTACATTGGAGCTTATACAATGCTAGCATAAGGCTAGGCGTAAATTGAGTGGCGTGTAGCGTGTGGCAGGACCAGCATGGCGCGACGCGCCACAAGCGCTGCCTGGTGGTCCGCAAATTGGGACGCAGTTTCTGAGTGACGCGCCTTTGCGACAGTATAAAAAACTCATAAAAATGTCCGATTCGTCATCGAAACAATTATTGTTTTAAACTTTAGGTCTGAATCAAAATTAGATGATGCCAAAGTGGAAATTTTATTGTATTCAATAATAAAAAATAATGCATGCGAATGCCGATGTGGCGCTAAAGTCTGTGGCTGAAGTACAGAGACGCGCGCTGGTTAGGTCTTATGGGTCGCGCCGCGCTGCGCTCTGTTGCTAATTTGCGCTGTCCCATTTTTTTGTGTAGTTTACAAAAACTCGCGTCGCGCCAGATAATGTCACACGCAATACACACGACTCAATTTGGGGTTAGACTTAAAAATGGGCGATAATGGATTTTACCTATCCATAATTTATGCATCGATATTCATCTATCGATATATTGGTAGATATGGATAGTTATATTACCTTTAAGCGGGGTTAGATTCTGAAATAATTTGAGTTTTTTTTCACAAAAATTTATCAACTTTGTCAGTAAACGCACATTCGGTTTAATGGAATTTACGTTTTTTGTTTTTATTTCAAATAGTTTGTTATCTCCGTAAATAAAATTATTTTACTAACTTTTTTCATTATTAGTCATTATTGTCATCAGCAATAATTTCCCATCTTTATGCGTATAGGTTAAGAATTACCCTGTATATACAGGGTGCTACAAATTGGAAGTACGAGCATTGGTACCTCAGTAGCAGTAGGCGTAATAGATACGAACAAGGTTAAATTGGGGCAAAGTTGCGCTTTGCGATGTTCAACAAGATGATATCAAAAAAGTTTTAAAAACTTCAAGGATTGCTGAGTTTTTTTTGGAAAAAAACATATTTTTTGGAAAATTAATTTTATTTTTTCCTGTCGTTACTTTTTAGAAAATCTGAAACTAATTATACGTTCTCAGGGCCACTTTATTAGGGCTATCTAATAGTATTTTTAGAATTTCAAATTAGCTGATAATTTATGAGACACAGAGGCCAACTTAATTTTTTTTAAAATACGGATCTGGATTTTTTATTTCAGGTTTGGAAAGAACTCGGTCTCCTTTACTTTATACTTTTTTTGTTTTGGGTACTTGAATGACAGCAAAACTATTTAATTATTATTTAAAATAATTTTAAGTCCGACTCCGTTTTTTTTAATTATTTATATTTATTTAATCTGATCAATAATTCGAAGGACATGTTTAATGTAAAACCGGCTATCAAAACAGCTCCAAGTCGCTCTGCATAGACTATTCGTCCCCCTCCCAGCAGTCTCTGGTTTCGCCGGATGGCGCCGAACGATCGCGACGGGTCTAAAGCTCCGCGCGCACTGAAGGGGTATCGACGAGAGCGAGCTGTGCGAGCGGCGCGACCGACACGACCGGTCGGAAAGTCGATTGTAGCCGCGCACTGGAGTCGCACGATCGACGGTCGAGAGTACGTTATCCAAGGTTATTAAAAGGTAAGGTTGTCTCGTAACTCGATCCGCCATTATCGAAAACGTCATCTACTACGTCACAGGGATGCTACCGCTCATGAATAAATGGATAAAAACTGCCGACAGTCCGACGGTGCATTTCCGAATCGATATTCATTGTGTATATGGTTTATGGCGTCCATAGTTTTTAGTTGTTTGATGTTTGTTTTCTTTATTACATTGCCCATATATCTCTCTTTGTCCGTTGCATTCTATTCTTTTTATCTATGATTTTATACGTTCTGTCTACGTCACAGTGATGATATTCCGCTTCGCTCCAATTGGTCCAAAAGTTACGAGACAACCTTATCTTTTAATAACCTTGTACATCACCAGCATAAATTTGAGCATAGACGAGGAGAGGTTTATTCAAATTTAGTCAATTCATTCGGCATTTCAAAAAATTATAAAGTATTATTACTATTTATATTTTTATGCAACTTTTTATATTTTATGCTTTATGATGGAAATTAATATTATTTAGATCTTAACCAAACACACATTAATATATTTAGATCTCAACAAACCACATAAAATTAGTGAAATAGAGTGGAAGATTGGGATAAAATATACTACATGACTCTTAGCTTAACCGATTTTAACAAATTTGGTATCATTCAAAAGGGTTTAATTTGTTCTTTAAAAACAAAGTTAGATATATGTTATATGTAGTGTCATTACAAACAGTTATATATAGCTTTTATTTTCAGTTTTTAAAATCTTTGTTATAAGTCTGTAGTAAATAAAACGAAACTTGTGTTTACATTTTGTTTGATTGACGTTTCGGCCAATTTTAATTCCGTCTTCTTCAGAATCTATAATATACGTATAAATAATTTTCTACGTTTGTGGTAAGAAAAAATTATATATTAAACACATTGTTAGTGATAAAATTGTATTGTATATTATAGATCCTGAAGAAGACCGAATTAAAATTGGTCGAAACGTCAATCATTAAACAAAATGTAAACACAAGTTTCGTTTTATTCACTACTGACTTAAAACCAAAATTTTAATAAACTTAAAATATAATAAAAAAGTCAAAGAAAATTGAAAAAAGAAAAAATATAAATAGTTTTTATAGTACCGTATTATCGAAAAGGAATGGCATCAGCGATGGCCATGAAATGAAGGTCGGTGCCATTTTATATGTAAATTTATATAGGAAATGTCATCAATCGTCATTTCCCATCCAACTGGACACCGTTTTTTTCTATCATACGGTAGATATATGTACAAATATTTTATTCAAACATAAATATTATTTTCTCTATTTGTACCTTGTACGGAGCGATCAACATAGTAACATAGGATGACTATTTATCAACTGTTATTACTAACGTCAAAACAAACCAAAAATTAAATAATATGATAAGTTTTTGACGATATTTAAATTCGATTTCCATAATAATGTGAGATAATCAAAATGAGATGAGAAATAAATGGGTTTAATCGGAAGGTTGTCTAACTCAGTTATTGAATAAGTGTAGTAAACAATATAGGTTACGTGCTTGTAAGAAACTTTTATAAAAAACCGCATATTAAGTATGATATGGTCTCATACACTTTCGATTAATAATTCATCGGACATGTTTAATGTAAAACCGCTCCACTAAAAACAGTCGCTCGGCGTAGACTATTTGTCCCCCTCCCATGCATTCTCTGATTTTGCCTGATGGCGCGAGTACCGCCGATAGCTCGAAGCGCACCGATCGTACCGATTTAATGCGGTGCGCGGGCTTATATTTATTTCAACGTAAACTGAAAATTACGTGCCGCTCGCTCGCGCCTATACCCCTTCAGTGCGCGTGGAGCTTAACGCAGTGCGCGGGCTTACATTTATTTCAACGTAAACTGAAAATCACGGGTCGGTCGGGGGGTTCCGACTTTACAGTTACACTCCGCGTTATATCACCGAGCACGGTTAGATCTCCCAGATATTCATCCCTTCTTCTAAATAAATATAATTCTAATAACAATTAATCCAAATAATTAGAATTATATCAATAATTTAGACATTTGACAGTGACAGTTTACGTCATTACCTAAATTATAAAATTAGAATTATATATCAATAATTTAGACATTTGGCAGTAACAGTTTAGTTTATTACCTAAATTAGAATTGTATCAATAATTTAGAAATTTGACTTGTCAAATGTCAAAATTATTTATGTTCTATTATTTAGATTAATTGGTATTAGAATTATACAATATTTAGAAGATACAATGAATATAAGGAAGGTTAGGTTAGGTTATAAAAAAATATGTTTGAGTTAGTTCAAATTAATAAGTCATGTAAAATCTATATGTCGCTGTAAATGGCCGAAATGCGGTAAAACCTACGTTTTACCGCATTTCGAGTCGGTTAGCGTGGTTATTTGGAGGATGTTAATTCATTGGTAAATCCTAGGTTTAGCGCGCTTATCCTAGGTTTTACCGCATTTCGGACATTTACAGTAAAGGTACATTCAGGCTGAGAGCGTCGCGTCCGCTTGTCGAAATGGAATCAATTCACTTAACTTAAATTAGACCGTTCAGGCAGACAGCGTCGCGTTTGGCGTTGCGCCAGCGTCTGCTGAGCGTCGGGGTTCGAGTTCAATGGGGCGGACGTGACGCAAACGCGACGCTCTCAACCTGAATGTACTTTAACATATATACAAAGTGGTTATATCATAATTACGTAGTTTTCATCTAGAAATGTTATTTAATTCTACCTATAATTAATTATATATTCTATAATATATTTTATATATATAATTCTATAATTAAATAACATTTCTAGATGAAAACTACGTAATTATGATCTAACCACTTTGTATATACATTTACATGACTTATTAAATTGTACTAATTCAAACATTATAATTGTCATTGTTGTTATCATCTATATGACAACTGGCGTTTTTGATGGATGTCAGTAAAACAATACTTACCACAATAGTATTGGGATAATCCCATGGTGTATCTGGCGATAAAGTGGGCCTAGGGTTGCTCTGCTTCCGCGGACGCCTGGCTGTGGGCTTCTTGTCTGGCACCTGATCTGATGACATTTCTGTATCACCAACCATCGTTATCCACACTTAAAACACACGAGAAAAATCAAAGTTCTCTTCGGCACAAAAAAAACGTATATGAAAAACACTGAGTGTATATTTAAACACGTCGGTCACTACGATTGTGACACGTCTAGATCAGAAGCTACGGTTAAGACAACCGTCGCGTCGTTGACCGCACTCAAGAATAATCAAATTCGCACTGGACCATGTGCTTGTCATTTAAAACCCCGCCCCCTCTCGAACCCCGCCCCCTCTCGCTCGTGCGACGCCTCGTGGACACTGTCCAAGATAAGGATGTCTCTCGCCCCAAAAAAATAATCGTCCAAAAAATATAACGATGTGATTAATTGATAAACTAAACTGTAGAGTGAGAAAAATCATATCTTTTTCGAAAAGACCATGATTTTTTTTATGTTTCGGGTTTATTAGTTGTAAATACCGATTTGGTAATATTAGGATTGTGGTCTGAATTTTAACGTGTAAGACAGTGATGGAAAGTAAGTAAAACAGCTTAATGGAAAATAAAATGTATTAAAAAGAGATAAAAGTTGGGTTGATATATTTCTTCTATGCGGTATTGCCGAATTTTGCATCAAAATTTAAACCGCACAAGGAAGTGTTTATGGAAAATGTTGCATCAAGGGTTGGAACCTTATTTTTCACAATTAGTTGCTCATTTTACTACAAATGTAATAGATTATATTTAGATTAGATATATTATCTTCATTTCAGTAGTATACATAAAAAAAATTAAACTGTTTTTTTTTCTACACAATTTTTTTTTCTACACACATTTTCCTACAAACGTAAAAACCGGCAACTCTGTATGCCGCTTTTGATTTTGTCTCTCTATCTGTTAACTGGTCGATGGGGTTGAACTATACTACCTGTTGAAATACCTTGCACTGATTTCTGGGACACCCTGTATAGTGACTAAAGCCTGGACTAGTCTCGAAACCCATAATGTAAGCAAGAATACGCTGCCTACTTCAGATAAAATCATATAATCTTTTTCTATATTTTACATTATAACTCATTACTATTTCCACAGATATACGCGATAAACATTTTTTATCTTATTTTTATTCTATAGAAACTATGTATCGGAACGCAAAAATTTCATTTCGAATGCTTCGCTCGCTGTGCTCCAGTATTTTTTTCAGCCTTTAAAAAATGCCAGATCTAAAGAAACAGAAGATTAAATATTTATTTAGACAATTAACATTAAATAACTTCTATTATTGTATAGCCCCTTTATTGTGTCTTTGTAATATCTATTCATGTTATTCATCCTTTATTTGGGTTGTTAAATTATGGGTTCAAAAAAATATTTTTATACCTAGTCTTTCTAATGTATTAATAAAGGCAAAAAAGAAAGTTATAAACGCTGAATAGATATTATGAATGAATTGTGAATAGGTAATAAAATAATTTAACATAATTTTTATTACCTATTCAATCCATTCCATTTCTAGATGAAAATTACGTAATTATGATCTAACCACTTTGTATATATGTTAAAGTACATTAAGGCTGAGAGCGTCGCGTCCGCCCCATTGAACTCGAACCCACGCCAAACGCGACGCTGTCTGCCTGAACGGTGTAATTTAAGTTAAGTGAATTGATCCCATTTCGACACGCGGACGCGACGCAAACGCGACGCGACGCTGGACGCTCTCAGCCTGAATGTACCTGTAAGAATTAGAACCTTTCGTGTTACAACAGCAAAATAAAACACTAATTCACTACAATACACACACTTTAATGATTAAAACTGATGTAACATTAGAATTAGTGCTTTATTTTCCAACTTTCCTTATGTAAAAATATCGGTTTCGAAATATATATTATTCCGACTTTTTTTAAAGTAAAATAGACATCCTAATAATATCATTAAAACAATATAACATTACTTCATGGTATTAAAAAAGCGTCGACAGGAATGACATTCATTTATAAGAACTAGGGTTGCCAGATTGTACAGGGTGGTCGAAATTGGTCTGTTTTAACAGAGAAAACCTATTTCCTGACTAGATAGAGCAAAACCGACATAGATGTCATGGGCTCGATTTCTGAGACACGTTTAATGGCGTAAACCCCCTGTTGATATTTTCACTGCCAACTGAGATACGGAGTCTTTTTGATTTTTTTACCATTTTGAAAATTGCCCATAACTTTTTTATTTTGCGATATAATAAAATTTAAGTACAATCCAGTGGCGTAGTCAGTTTTTTTCTATGCTTGCTCTTTTTATAACAAATAATGAAAATATAATTTTTAAATGGAAATCATAGTCTATGAACTTAAAAAATGCTGGCGTTTAACCCTTTTCAACGATATAAAGTTAGGGGTATCTATTTCTAAGAATGAGAGAAATATTGGGTGTTTTATCTTTGTATCGAAGTGGGCCTTGATTTTGTGTAGACCTATGTGCCTAATTATTTGTTATCACAATTTAATATTCAATGTTATTATTTATCTGCACAATTAAAGACTTTTGGATATGTAAATTAACATTCTATATTAGTATTAGTAATTAAAATTGAAATAGATACAATAAACAAAGAACAAAACTAAAAAAACATATTTTTGTGTGGCGAATATAGTTTTCTAAAAAAACAACGATTTATTAGGCGAACTAGTGTAATACGTCCAAAAGCTTGCCTAGTAATCTTCTGCTTCTCTCGTCCCAATGGTTCTTCCCTTATAGATAAGGTCTTTTAATTCCCCCCCATAAAAAAGTTGAAAGGAGTTAAATTACGGGACCTAGCAGACTAAGATATGGAGCCCTTTGTTCCAATCCAATTCTCTCTAAATTCTCCATTTAATAGTGCAGTTGTAACCCTGGCGTTTTAATTGTAAATGGTAGTACTAATATAGAATGTTGATTTACCTTTTCAAAAGTCTTTAATTATCCAGATAAATAATAATATAGAATATTAAATTGTGATAAAAATTAATTAGAAAACTATAGGTCAACACAAAATCAAGGCCCGCTTCGATACAAAGATAAAAATGTAATATTTCTCTCATTTTTTGAAATAAATACACATAACTTTATATCGTTAGAAAGGGTTAAATGCCAGCATTTTTTTAAGTTCATAGCCAACTATGATTTCAATTTAAAAAATTATATTTTTTATTATTTCTGACAAAAAAAAGCAAGTATAGAAAAGAAATGACTACGCCACTGGATTGTGCTTAAAAAAGTGCCTTAAGAACGTTTTTACAGAACTTTATTATTCCGCGAAATACAAAAGTTACGGGCAATTTTCTAAATGGTAAAAAATTTAAAATGGTAAAAAATTAAAAAGTATCTCAGTTGGCAGTGAAAATATCAACAGGCGGTTTACGCCATTAGACGTGTGTCAGAAATCGAGCCCATGACATCTGTGTCGGTTTTGCTCTATCTAGTCAGGAAATAGGTTTTCTCTGTTAAAAGAGACCAATTTCGACCACCCTGTACAATAGTGAAATTCCGGGAGGCCAAAAAAAGCGAGAGCAAAAGAAATGTGTAAGCTCTAAAAAGATACCCCCATCACCAACCTCTTCCTATCTCACATACAGGGTGGCGCTTCTCATACGCCGCGGAGGCTCCAAGGAGAACGACAGTTTGTATTGAAATGAAATTTTGTGAGCATATTATGTAGGTTAATTCAGAGCACTTTTTTAAAATAGAGAGAGTTCTACAGGGTGTCCTCCAAAAAAATTACATATCAAAGTTGTGTTTTTTGTAATGGAACACCCTATATATTAATTGATTTTCGGATTCTGGGAGAAAAGTAAAGTTGAGTTTTAAGAGGTATAAGATAATATAATAATATAAGATATATAAGATATAATTAAGAAGAGAAGTATATGACTAAAATGTAAGGTTTTTGCCATATTTAACATTTTCAAGAAATAAGGAACAATTTAATCTTTGTCTGAGGGCAACAGGCAACTTTAATAATATTTTGAAGATATATAAATTCCCCATTGAACACCGGAATAATATACTGGGTGTTCCATTTAAAATAAAGGAATAATTTGCTTTTAAAAGGGAATAATGTTCCATATTAATTTTATCTCACCCTGTATAACTTTTCGGGTCAAATTTCAATTTGGTTTAACATACAATGGTTACCGTAATTAAGTATCAGGCTATACAAGGTCAACTAAAATTTGGGTAGCTGTTATCGAAATTTAAAATTTACTCTTCATTTTCACAAAATGAGAAATATATCAAAATCCTTAGATTTTAGGTATATACTTCTTTAACAAAACTCACCATTATTTTTTTCCTAGAATCCGAAAATAAATTAATATATAGGGTGTTCTATTAAAAAAAACACAACTTTGATTTGTAGCTTTTTTTGGGGACACCCTGTATAATTCTATATATTTTTAAAAAGTGCTCTGAATGAACCTACATATGCTCACAAAATTTTATTCCAATACAAACTGTCGTTCTCCTTGGAGCCTCCGCGGCGTATGAGAGGCGCCACCCTGTATACAGGGTGTCCCAGAAATAAGTGCAAATATTTTAACTGGTTGTATAGTTCAACCCCAGAAACACGCCTATGAGGTTTTTTTGCGAAAAAAAATTTTGAAAATTCGAAATTTTTTGAAAAATTTTTTGGATTTTTTTTAGTTTTTAATTAAAAAACATAATTTCTTGATAATATGACAACATAAGTATTAGATTAAATTTGCAAGGAAAAAAAATCCAGAAAAGATCCAGTGGTTCTCAAAATTTTAGCAAAAAATATTTTTTTTTTGGAAATTTTCAAAGTAAAATAACTCCGTTATTTTGGACTTATTTGAAAAACGATAAAGAGAAAATATGTTTCTTTTATCGAGATCTACCAGCCCTTAAAATATTTGCACTTATTTCTGGGACACCCTGTATAACATGAGTCTCCACACTTTAAAATTATCTATATTATTCCACATTATCCGTTTTAGACAAGTAATTTGTATTCAATAAAAAAGTGATTTTTATGTATTTATAATAATGCATATATCGCTTA